TCCTGACTACAAAGTTTTTCTTTTTATTTGTACAGGTTTTGTGTTTCTTTTTGGAACTGATTGGTCGTAGACCTCAATGGTCCAAGCTTTATGCACCTCAGATCCATAAAATATTAACAATGCATTATTTCAGTCAGGTCCACTTTGTTAAACTATGCTTAGTACAATTATAGCATACAGTTAGTGTTGGCAGTATGGTTCTGTTCTGGGCAAAACTCCCCACGCCTGTCCATGCAGCCATGCAAGTCAAACCCCCCTGGGGTACAGAACAGATCCAGTATATGCATACATAATTACATGAGCTGTAGAAAACACAAAATATATGATAGAGAATGCTTGCAATATAGTGAACTGTATATACGAAGAAAAGAAAAATCAGATTAGATTACCGGTGGAGTTGGGGTTGGAGGAGGGAGTTGATTTGCGAGCGGCGATGCGATAGAAGAGATGCTGGAGAATGGAATTTAAATGGACCGCTGTGATAAGTGTCAAAACTGGATTGGTACACGTCAGGAACGGCTGATTATCAGCTGATGCAAGCTTGACTGACGTGGCCTGCCTGAACTAATGCTATGCTTGATTTTAGATAATCCAGCAAGAAGACCATTACAATAGTCAACACGTGAAAAGACAAAATAATTTATCAACTTCTCAGCAACTGAGAAGGACAACATAGGATGTAAACGTGCTATATTTCTGAGGTGAAAAAAGGATGTCTTAACCGTATTCTGCACAAAAGGCTCAAATGACAGTGAAGCATCAAAGATGACTTCAAGACTTTTTAGTTTGCTTTGAAACTCCAACACCATCAACAGACAAAGTAAGAGAACCAGCATTTCGCAGTTGATGGGGAGAGCCAAGGAGCATACCTTCCGTTTTGGAGATATTTAAAATCAGAAAACTATTAGACACCCAATTCTTGATCTCAGTGATACAGTTGGAAAGATGCACAACGTCCACATGTTGACCTGGTCTTGAATTAATATAAACATGCGTATCATCAGCATATAAGTGATAATTAAGGTCAAGAGATCTTAGTAGTTGACCAAGTGGGTAAATATACATACTAAAAAGTAAGGGACCCAATACTGACCCCTGTGGGACACCTGTATGAACAGGACCAACCTTGGATCTATAGCCACCCATAAAAACAAATTGACTGCAGTCAGTAAGATTCTCTGTGATTGGTACACTGTTAAAATTTTTAGTGTGAAATTACAGTATATTTCAGGTTAATAATTGCATTACTTTCACAGAAGTAAAAGGTAAAGGGGGAGGTGTTGCTACAATTTATAACAATATTTTCAGTATTTCTCAGAGGGCGGGCTTCAAGTATAACTCGTTTGAAGTAATGGTGCGTCATATAACATTATCCAGAGAAACAAGTGTTAATGATAAATCCCCTGTGATGTTTGTACTGGCTACTTTATACAGGCCACCAGGGCACCATACAGACTGCATTAAAGAATTTGCTGATTTTATATCCGAGTTAGTGCTGGCTGCAGATAAAGTTTTAATTGTTGGTGATTTTAATATCCATGTTGATAATGAAAAAGATGCATTGGGATCAGCATTCATAGACATTCTGAACTCTATTGGGGTTAGACAACATGTGTCAGGACCTACTCATTGTCAAAATCATACTCTAGATTTAATACTGTCTCATGGAATTGATGTTGATTGTGTTGAAATTATGCAGCCAAGCGATGATATCTCAGATCATTATCTAATCTTGTGCAAACTTCATATAGCTAAAACAGTAAATTTCTAATCCTTGTTACAAGTATGGTAGAACCATCACTTCTACCACAAAAGACTGCTTTGTAAGTAATCTTCCTGATTTATCCCAATTCCTCAGCATATCCAATACCTCAGAACAACTTGATGATATAACAGAAACTAAGGAATCTGTCTTTTCTAGCATTTTAGATACGGTTGCTCCTTTATGCTTAAGGAAGATTAAGGCAAACAGTCTGACACACTCACACCCTAAAGAGAGCATCCCGGAAAATGTAGCGCAGCTGAAGGAAAACAAAACTTGAGGTAGTTGGTATTGCTTGGTGGGAAAGTACCCTATCCTACAGAAAAGCATTAAAAACTGCTAGATCTGATTAATTTGAATCTCTTTTAGAAGAAAACAAACATAACCCCAGGTATTTATTCAATACAGTGGCTAAATTAATGAAAAATAAAGCATCAACAGGTGTTGACATTTCCCAACAGCACAGCAGTAATGACTTTATGAAGATAGTGTGCTATAGATCCCCCGAGGAACAATTCCACTCATTCTCTACTATAGGAGAGGAAGAATTGTATAAACTTGTTAAATCATCCAAACCATACATAGGGTATGTTAGACCCTATTCCATCTAAGCTCCTAAAAGAGGTGCTTCCAGAAGTCATAGATCCTCTTCTGACTATTATTAATTCATCATTGTCATTAGGATATGTCCCCAAAACCTTCAAACTGGCTGTTATTAAGCCTCTCATTAAAAAAAAATAAAAATACACAACTTGACCCCAAAGAACTAGTTAATTACTGACCGATCTCGAATCTCACTTTTCTGTCCAAGATACTAGAAAAGGTAGTATCATCACAATTATATTCCTTCTTAGGGAAAAATTGTATCTGTGAGGATTTCCAGTCACGATTTAGACCGTATCATAGTACTGAGACTGCTCTCATTAGAGTTTCAAATGAACTGCTCTTATCATCTGATCGTGGTTGTATCTCTCTATTAGTGCTACTGGAACTTAGCACTGCGTTCGACACTATTGATCACAACATTCTTTTGAATAGACTAGAAAACTTTGATGGCATTAGTGGAAGTGCATTAGCATGGTTCAAATCTTACTTATCTGACCGCCATCAATTCGTAGCAGTGAATGAAGAGTTATCATATCGATCACAAGTGCAGTATGGAGTACCTCAAGGCTCAGTACTAGGGCCGTTACTTTTCACGCTTTACATGTTACCTTTGGGAGATATCATCAGGAAACACAGTGTTAGCTTTCACTGTTATGCTGATGATACTCAGCTCTATATTTCTTCGCAGCCTGGCGAAATATAACAAATTCAAAAACGGAATGCATAGTCGATATAAAAACTGGATGACGAGTAATTTCTTACTGCTAAATTCTGAAAAAACAGGGGTGTTAATTATCGGACCTAAAACCTCTGCATGTAATAACTTAGAACACTGTCTAACACTTGATGGCTGCTCTGTCAATTCTTCGTCATCAGTTAGGAACCTAGGTGTGCTATTTGATAGCAATCTTTCCTTTCACCAAATCTGGATAACCAGTGCTGGATAACCAGTGCTCAAACAGGATAGGAAATCACAATGTAGAACTATAGATATGTAAAGAGCAACAAGTAGAATAGCCAGTGTGGGGTCAATATAAGTTTATTTTTATTTGAAATGAAAACCCACACATTTATAAAAAAAAATAAAAACAAGAAAATCCCCACCCCAACCTCTTCCAGCAGTCCACTCATCTGAGACCTACAACACACACACTGTGACAACCAAAGAAACTAACTAGAAAACTCAGGCAGGCAAAATTTAACAGAAAACTAAACCAAAACAGAATATACATGTGAAAACATAAGGACTTGGGATACATTGTTATTGTTTTATTTATGCCAGTGCTTTATGACAAAAATACATAATACACATGACAAATAGAGAATAATAAAAAGGTAATTTTTTACGCTATTTGAACACTGGGGTAGTCGTGGCCTAATGGTTAGACAGTCAGACTTGTAACCTAAAGGTCGCAGGTTTGAGTCTCAGTACCAGCAGGAATTATACGTGGGGGTAGTGAATGACCAGAGCTCTCATCTACCTTTAATTCCCACAACTGAGGTGAGACCCTTGAGCAAGGCACCGAACCCCCAACTGCTCCCCGGGCGCCGCAGCAAAAAAATGGCTGCCCACTGCTCCAGGTGTGTGTTTGTTCACTAATCACTGCTGTGTGTGTGCACTTGGATGGATTAAATACAGAGCACAAATTCCAAGTATGGGACGCTGTACTTGGTCACATTATCAACACTATTTAAATAAATAAACAATCTACATTTAGAATCCCACCATAAAAGTTTTTTAATAATTTTTTTTATTCAAAGTGACTTGCATTGCATTGAAGGTATACATCAGTTCAAGAGTTCCCAGAGAATTGAACCCATGATGTTTCTAGCGTTTCGCTCTACAGTTTGAGCTACTGGATTGCCAACATAAAAAGAACATAATTTTACAGAATTCATCCTATGGGAATGTATTAAGTGATCCATATAGTGGCATAAATATTATCAGAACAAATTTAATCTCTTTTCTTGGGTGAGCAGGAGCTGCACAGAATGCCTCCTCCAAGGATCAGCAGCACAGCTGCACCCCATCCGATATAGATAGAAGGCCCGAGCTCGCTCCTTTGGGCATCTGTGAGAATGGGATTGTAGAAATCCCTGACGATGGTGTTAGCTGACCAACAGACGGGGACCAGGACCAACACTCCGGCGATGATGAAGATCACACCACTGGCGATAGCCACCTTTGCCTTGCTGTCTTCCCTCTTGACAAAGTTTGTGCATTTTCCACCGGCAATCCCCAGGACGAGCGCAAAGAGGCAGATAATGATGGCAATGATCACAAGCACCCGAGCAGCCTGCAAGTCCTGAGGTAAAGCCAGGAGCAAGTCGTAGATTTTGCACTGCATCTGCCCTGTGCTCTGAACCACACAGTTCATCCACAAGCCCTCCCAGATGATCTGTGCTGTCACGATGTTGGCTCCAATGAACGCAGTCATCTTCCACATGGGAAGGGCGCAACTTAGGATAGCACCCAAGAAACCAATAATGGCCAGGGAAAGGCCTAGGATCTGTCGACACATAGACACCATTTTTCTCTCGTCTGCTCGGCTTTGTTGGCCTGCAAGTGTTTGCTCCTCTGTTAATCGTAGTAATGACTTCTGTTCCTCGCCTTCAGAGTTTTAAAATTGTCTCAGAAGGGAGGAGTCGAAGTCGGATCGGCCTGAAACCAGGTTAAGGAAGCTGACCAACAGACGGGGACCAGGACCAACACTCCGGCGATGATGAAGATCACACCACTGGCGATAGCCACCTTTGCCTTGCTGTCTTCCCTCTTGACAAAGTTTGTGCATTTTCCACCGGCAATCCCCAGGACGAGCGCAAAGAGGCAGATAATGATGGCAATGATCACAAGCACCCGAGCAGCCTGCAAGTCCTGAGGTAAAGCCAGGAGCGAGTCGTAGATTTTGCACTGCATCTGCCCTGTGCTCTGAACCACACAGTTCATCCACAAGCCCTCCCAGATGATCTGTGCTGTCACGATGTTGGCTCCAATGAACGCAGTCATCTTCCATATGGGAAGGGCGCAACTTAGGATAGCACCCAAGAAACCAATAATGGCCAGGGAAAGGCCTAGGATCTGTCGACACATAGACACCATTTTTCTCTCGTCTGCTCGGCTTCGTTGGCCTGCCAAGTGTTTGCTCCTCTGTTAATCGTAGTAATGACTTCTGTTCCTCGCCTTCAGAGTTTTCTTACTGAGAAAAAACAAGATTTGTTTTTTAAAAAGCCTTTTTCCAAAAGGTACATCTGGGAAAAGGGGGGTCGTCTTATAATCAGGGTCGTCTTATATTCGGGCCAATACGGTAATTATAAAACATTTAGGTTTCCAAAAGTAAGAATAAACTACGAATTCAAGTAACATTTTCAATCATGTTATAAAAAGTGAGCCATCCTACTTTTAAAATCACTTGCTTTGACAACTAATAAAACATTTAGTATCACAAAAAACGTTTAAAAACATTACTGAAAGAAAAATTGGACGTTTCATATCATAATAAAATCAATTATTATATGATTATGGTCTCCGGTCTGGAAAAACCTGCATGTGATTTGGCATTTCTTTATATTTATACAGTTTACTAATGCTGCTCAAATGTGTTGGAGATGCGTTTATGCATTTTTTTTTCTATGTTACGCATTAGTTGTAGGCTAAAACAAGACTTCGCAAGTTCTCTTGTAAAATAAAATGATATAAAAACAACGGAATAAACTGTGTACAGAAAGCGAGTAAAGAACTCTCAACATTAGGATACTAAAAAGGTCAGTTTAATCTCGCAAAAACTCCCGTTAATAAAAAATCTGACTACACTGCACAATTAATCTCTTACACTGCATCTTTGTTGTTTATGATTAATTCGGTGCTTGCACATACACCGCTTTTATTATTATTGCAGCTTAGATGTTCAAACAGCTGCAGTACTCCGACTTTGCCACAAGGAAAACTACAGGGGAGCTAGGGGCAGCTCGGCCCCCCTTAATAAGACATGGGCTCCCCTGAAAACGCCGCAAGTGCACGCCCCCCCCCCCCACCCGTTATAAAAAAAAAACAAGAGGGCTCCCCCAAAGTCCACAGTATAGTCCGAACACTGCCTGACGTGACAGTAAGTACTTTTCCACATCAAAGACCATTTTTATAAATATGAACGTTGCCGTGGATTTTAGCGTACGCACACTCTAAGATCAAATCTGTGCGAACGCACATTTTATAAATGAGGCCCCTGGTTTTGGTTGCATGAAACTGCTGTCTTTCTTAACTGTGTCAAATATAATGTCATTGACTTCATCCTTGTGAACAAAGATTTGAACATTCTCTCAGATGAGAGGAAACGGGTTTCAAGTTAATGAACACTGGTGTTTAACAAGATATGAAATGAAATCGATATCTGAAAGAGGTGAAATGCTGAATAAATTATAAATTATTCAGTACATTTGATTTATGTTACCAGATGCAGTAGCAGAAACTGCATTAGCAACGTACATTTTAAAACATTGCTTAATGTAGACACATCTTGAGCTCAAGATGTTTCATAGTCAGGATAACAGTGAGTTTTTAGAATGTTTAGGCTTTATTTTAGGTTAGAAAGTTATAGTGCAAGACATCTTTTAAGTGCCTTCAAAGAACCTTAGAGTATTTATGGGCCCGTTAATCATTACACAACATGCCTTGAGTTTCCATCACTGGAATTAGAATCTCAGTAATAATAAGCAGTTGCAACTGTTGAGTAATGACATAGAAATTCCAGTGAATGTGGAACATGTCACATAAACATCCTGTATATTAATTAGGCTAATGCTCATATGCTAAGTAGTTGCATTGCGCCAAGAGAGAAATATTCTGATGTTTTGATTACTAGGGATCAGATTTTGCCATAACATTTAAACCATGTGTCTTTTATTTATTTATTTATTTCACATATTTATTTATTCATGTATTTGTTTGTTTACTTATTTATTTATATGTGAAATAACATTGGAAGTGTACTGTTGCCCAAGAGTTTTTAAACATGTATGAACTTGATAAATGCTTTAACTAATATCGTACATCACAGTCTGAGTCATACTTTATATACATCACAGTCATCCTTTATAATTGTTTTATTGATGGCAATGTTTTATAACATATACCCATGACAAATTAGAGAATAATAAAAAAGTATTATTGTACACCAGTGCAGGGCTTAAAATTAAGTACTTGTAACTAGAAATTACAAATTAAAATACTTGTAATCAGACTACAGTTACTTTTTTTTTATTGATTACGTGATTACATATTATTCACACAATAGCAATAAGTTATTTACAATTTATTGATTCTCCCTAGTTCTACTACATCATCTTTTAAATTGACCTTTCTAAAATAGCCTAGCACTTATATACATTTAGAAACTAAAATACAGAAAACATTCACACAAAGACTATGCACTAGTCAGGTGGCTATAATTACACAGAAAACTGAGAGGCCACACAGCATTTGACCAGCGGACTTACAAAAATAATTTCAGTTCTTAGAAGTGTTTCCTCAACATTTCAACATTGCATCAACTACTGATGAACACATGAATGTTTATTTGAATTCTCACTCAAGGAGTTAACCATCCGTTACTATGTCTTTGGAAGGCTTTTGTCTGTAAAACACAATAAAATGCACAAAACCATGTTTTGTCTTATTTATATGTGGTTAGGTCAAAAGTAATCCGATTTGATCAGATTATATTACCTAAATCAGATTATATTAACTAAAATGTGTAACGTAATGAATTATGTTACTAATTCCATTTTTTCGCGTAATTTTGAATCAGTAATGGATTACAATTTGTAGTCGACCCAGCACTGTTGTACACATTTTAAATAAATAATCTATATTTAGAATCCCTCCATAAAAGCTGTATATATATATATACATGACTCTTTTATCCAAAGCGATTTGCTTTGCACTGAAGGTATACATCAAGCATTCCCAGGGAATGAAGCCCATGATGTTTCTAGCACTTCACTCTTCTGTTTGCGCTAAAAAAAAAGAATATATTTTATAGAATTTATCCAACGGAACGGAAGGAGCTAAATGATACATTATCACAACATATTTCATCTCTATTTAGAAGATGTGTATTCATAATTCTTTGTAATTGTGAAGAGGAAGAATGAAAATGTTATGCTATTACATGTAAAAAAAATAACTCTACAGATAAATTGCTGACCCGCAGTGATGAATTAGATCAATCAGTCACTTGAGTGTGTATTTTAAGACCAGTTCTATGGGCTCTGCGTCTCAGACAAACTCTCTTGGAGCAGAACTGGACCTCACAGCGGAGAACTTGGGGTTGTAGATGCGTTCTTGCTTCGGTGGGCAGTTCCAGCAAAGTATTCCTCCTCCCAGTAAAAGCAACCCAGCAGACCCCCAGCCGATATACAGAGCTGCGCCCAACTCCCTCCGCTGGGCCTCTACCATCATCGGGTTGTAGAAGTTCTGTATGATCGTGTTGGCTGCCCACGACACTGGGATCAGACAGAGAAGTCCAGAGATAATTAGGAAAATGCCTGCAATGATGCACGCCTTTGCTTTGGACCCTTGGTCCTCAATGCAGTTGGTGCACTTCCCACCAGCCAGAGAAATTACGATTCCACAGAGTCCAGTTAAAATGGAGACGATGATCATGGCCCGGCCCGCTTGAAGATCAGAACTGAGCGCCAGCATGGAGTCGTAGACTTTACATTGCATTTGTCCAGTGCTCTGCACCACACAGTTCATCCACATGCCCTCCCAGATGACCTGTGCCGTGACGATGTTGGCCCCAACGAACGCCGACACCTTCCACTGGGGCAAAGCGCACACGATAATGACCCCCAGCCAACCCAGCATGGCTGTGGATATGCCCATAATCTGGAGTCCTTGGGAGACCATTTTTAAACCACAGCCTTTACAGCGATACAATAGATGAAAAAGTTTGTTATTTATAGGAAAGGTTTGAAAAGGTGGAGTTTGGTGGAGCTGATGATTTCTACGCAGAGCCCCTATGATTGCTCATTTACACTATAAACACAAAACTAAAGGTTTTCAGAAGCACAGCAATACTTCAAGGTCATCAGTAACAAATTGCTTTTCAAAATGACCTTGCGCTTACGTAAAAGGCACTGTGAAAAGATATTGTCTTTAGATGGGTGATTTATGGTTGGAAATATTTAATGTATGCTGTCTTCACATTTTTGTGATAGGTAGATGATAAGTGCAGAAAAGCATAAAACACATTAAGAAATGTTCTCATCTATTTTGAAACCACACAAAAGGATCATTCAAATCTTTTTACTGATCAGTTGTGATCTGGATTAACCGGAGAGAGCTTTCTGCTAGTGTTTCCATTCATCTCATTGGCAGTTGCTCACATACTTCACCCAGAAGTACGTGACCTGGAGGCAGCCATCTATACTTCATGGGCACACAATTGCAAGAGCATTTGTTACAGTGGATCTATGAAAAAAAGTCAGTTTCATGAGCCCTTAGAAAATAGTCATATATACACAGTCATGCATTTATTTATTAGTTAATGCATGTTGCATTGCTTGGATTTTTTTAATATCACACAGTTTAAACTGTACATCAACAGGGACACATAATGGTGAATCATAAATATTCATCAACTCATCAAAATAATTATGATCAAATAATTATTTACATTTATTTTGATGAAACAATATTTAACTTTTTTATGTTAGATACAGGGGCTTTACTGCAGTTATTTCAGTTTTTGTTTTTCTGAAAGTCAAATTTCTGTGTAGATACATAGCTTATCGGCTACAAAATGCTATTGGACATTTCCACCGTTTATTCCCAGGCAAAAACATACTTTTCTTAAAACTCTTGGAACTTCACTACAGTAAAATCCTACACTTCTCAAATGTGAAACATAAAAAAAAATTAGTTAATGCATGTTGCATTGCTTGGATTTTTTTAATATCACACAGTTTAAACTGTACATCAACAGGGACACATAATGGTGAATCATAAATATTCATCAACTCATCAAAATAATTATGATCAAATAATTATTTACATTTATTTTGATGAAACAATATTTAACTTTTTTATGTTAGATACAGGGGCTTTACTGCAGTTATTTCAGTTTTTGTTTTTCTGAAAGTCAAATTTCTGTGTAGATACATAGCTTATCGGCTACAAAATGCTATTGGACATTTCCACCGTTTATTCCCAGGCAAAAACATACTTTTCTTAAAACTCTTGGAACTTCACTACAGTAAAATCCTACACTTCTCAAATGTGAAACATAAAAAAAAATATATATATATATATATTTGGGCCAGACTGCTGCCATCTGGTAAAAAAAAAGAAAAATTGCATGACTTTGTGTTCAAGTAAAAATCATGTAATGACAATAATGGCCAGTAGATGACTGAAGAATGCTATGAATCCATCAGCAGCACATGAAATCAAGAACATTTGGATATTTCTTAAGATATTATTCAAATATTATTTGTCAAGGTTTGGAAGTATATATATATATATTTTTTCAAATAATTTTTAAGCATATTTTTTGCAATAATGCTTACAGTCAAATACCATTCATGTCAGTCCCCCTCTGTCCATGTAAGTGTGTGTGTGTGTGTCTGTGTCTTTGTGTGTGTGTGTGAATCTTTTGCACTCTGCATGTAGTTAGCACTTCAGTAGTTGTGACATCTCCCAGATACCTTTTTTTATCATCTAATTATTGAGAACCCAACCGTCTCTCTATGCAAAGAGAGTACAAACTTAACTGTGTTTGTTCTATCTGTGTAATGAAGCACGAGAAACAATAATGTTGTGTGTTTCTAAAGAATTTATTTGTTTGTAATGCATATAGTTGAAAGGTTTTGTAGCATAGCACAAATATCTGTCACAAAGCACAACATGATTAAATTTACATTTTGTACAAATCCTTAACACTAAGCATATCTGAAGAGGGAATCCACAGTGTGTGAATCCAGCAGGTAAAATTAAAAAGAGGTATTTACAGTTCCCACACAATTGTTGGCAGTTCAGTTCCATTCAGCTCTGTGACCTGAAACTTTCTCACTATTTGACCATTTATATAAAATGTTGGCAGCTGACAGCTAATTCAACCAGAACATTCACATACATGGTCAGTTGTAACACAAACAGGTCAAAATCTGACCAAGATACAAATTAAAGTCACTATTCACAGTGCTCCTTGGTTCCTCTTCATACATAGCCTTGGTTTCCTCCAGGCCGAGCTGTGTACTTAGCAGTGTACTGATCTTTAGGAGGGCAGTTTGCACAAAGCAACGACCCTCCAATAATCAACAGCGCCGAAGCAGCCCATCCAATAAACAACGAAGCTCCCAACTCTTTCTTCTGTGCGCTGACGGTCATAGGGTTGTAGAAGTCCCTTATAACTGTATTGGCCGTCCAGCAGAGGGGAATCAAACACAGAACTCCAGCCACGATGAAGATGGCTCCTGAAATGATGCCGACTTTGGCCTTGGCGCGCTCGTCCTCGATGCAGTTGGTGCATTTCCCTCCAGCAGCCGCTAGCAGGATGCCAAAGACACCCACCAGGATGGAGATGACAGTCAGGGCACGAGCCGCCTGGAGATCTGAGCCGAGAGCCAGCATGGAGTCATACACCTTACACTGCATCTGTCCGGTGCTCTGCACCACACAACTCATCCAGATTCCTTCCCAGGTTATTTGCGCAGTGACTATATTCTGTCCAATGAAAGCCGTGACAAGCCACATAGGGAGAGCGCAAACCACGATCACCCCGATCCAGCCGATGATAGCCAGGGCTATGCCCAGCATCTGCAACCCTGCTGATACCATGCTAGCACGCTGCTTTGCTTGTGTGTAAAAGAACAGTCTTCGGTCTCTAGAGCTGCTTCAGTGAACATGGGAGTAAAGCGGGCCCTTTTATGCAAAGTGAAACAAGGAGGGGCCGCACGAATCACTCTCAGGTGCACCGTCACCATGATGTGCCCCCAGGCTGTGGTGTCATTAATCAAGCAAATCCCAGTGACAAACCTTAACTCGAATTGCATTTGGGTGGATTTGTTTTTGCTGAACGGGACATTTTATGAATCACAATTTCATAGTTTTACATTAGCGTGACTCATGGTTCAACGACGAAAGTACACTTTTAAGAAAAACAGAGGATAGGAGTAATCCATAAATAAAGGCAGACACGAATATATTATACCGAAAATGGGTGTCCCAAGGCACGTGAAGGGTTTTGAAAGATGAAGTAACATAATTAACTAATGGCAATACTTTAAAATAAATAAATAAAGGGATAAATAGGGATTTACCCTCTATACACACACCCAAAATACACTGAGCATTGATTCACTGTTTTTTCTCCTTTTGCTAATTGCAGATA